AATTAATTTTGGTATCCATGTATCCATGTATATCCACATATCTACGTATTTCGACTACAATGTGCAGTCTTCATCAGTGTCATTCCCACTAAAGAACTTATCAAAATCTAACCCCCTTAAGTACTCATCCCCTAGGTAAAAAAGTCAAGATCATAGGTATAAAAATGAAACTACAATGTGTTGAATCGGAACCTACCTAACTAATAAAAACCAAAGATTTAAGTAAGCTAAAGGAGAAAAATCTATACAACTCTCTAATAAAGAAAATTCATAGAAACTCGGAGGAGTGGACAACTTTAGAGAAGTTTGGAGGAGAACTTCAAAAAATCTCAGAGAGAGAACTGCAGACTAGTTTGGAACGAGCATTTCAGAGAAGTTTGGAACTAGAAGTTCAGAGAAATTCGGAACGAGAACTTCAGAGAAGTTTGAAAGAGTACTTCATAGAAGTTTTAATGAGTACTTCAGAGAAGTTTGGAGGAGAACTTCAGAGAAGCTGGCTGGAGAACTTTAGAGAAGCTCGGAGGAGAGTTTCAAAAAAATTAGAAGAAACTTCAGAGAAGTTTGGAACGAGAATTTTACAGAAGTTTGTAACAAGAACTTCAGAGAAGTTTGGAACGAGAACTTCAGAGAAGTTTTGAAGGACTACTGAAGAAGTTTAGAGGAGTACTTTGTAGAAGCTGGGACGAGAACTTTAGAGAAGTTTGGACGAGAACTTCAGAGAAGTTTGGAACGAGAACTTCAAAAAAGTTTGGAACGAGGACTTCAGAGAAGTTTTTTTTTATAGAAAAACTCAGAGAAGCTCGTAGGAAAGCTTCAGATAAGTTTGGAGGAAAATTTCAAAGAAGCACGGAGTTGAACTTCAGAGAAGCTCGGAGGAGTACTTCAGAGAAGCTGGGAAGAGATCTTCAGAAAAGTTTGGAGGAGAACTTCACAGAAGTTTGGAGTAGAACTTCAGAGAAGCTAGGAGGAGAACTTCAGAAATGCTCGGAGGAGAGCTTCAGAGAAGCTCGGAGGAGAACTTGAGAGAAGTTTGTAGGACAACTTAAGAGAAGCTGGATGGAGAACTTTAGAGAAGTTCGGAGGATAACTTCAAAAAATCTCAGAGGAGAACTTTAGAGAAGTTTGGAACGAGCATTTCAGAGAAGTTTGGAACTAGAAGTTCAGAGAAGTTCTGAACGAGAACTTCAGAGAAGTTTGAAAGAGTACTTCATAGAAGTTTTAATGAGTACTTCAGAGAAGTTTGTAGGAGAATTTATTTGAAGCACGGAGGAGAACTGCATAGAAGTTTTAAAGAGTACTTCAGAGAAGTTTGGAGCTGAATCTCAAAGAAGCACGGAGGAGAACTTCAGAGAAGCTCGGAGTAGTACTCCAGAGAAGCACGTATAAGAACTTCAGAGAACCTGGGACGAGAACTCAGACATGTTTGCATCGAGAACTTCAGAGAAGTTTGAAGGAGAACTTCAGAGAAGTTTAGAGGAGAACTTCAGAGAAGCTCAGGGGAGAACTTCAGAGAAGTTTGGAGAACAACTGCAGAGAAACTCGGAGGAGAAATTCAGAGAAGTTCGGAGGAGATCTTCAGAGAAGCTCAGAGGAGAACTTCTGAGAAAGATCCACCAATGATCTTATTTTTGAATTCTCATTGTTGGTGTTTGATGTATATAGCATGAGGTTTTTGGCCGGCGCTTGTGGTGTAGTGCTAAGCGTGCCTGCTTTCTCACCCCCAATGGGTCTGGGTTCAATCCCAGCTGAGGTCGGTGGGATTTTTCTGAGGTATAAAAATCTCTGGTCACGTCTTCCTTCGGAAGAGAAGTAAAGCCGTTGGTCCCGGCCCATGTGTGTTTAAATGGGTGCGATATCCTAGGCAGGTGTGGAGGCTGCCTTCCTGCACATTCGATTGCCGTTAATGGATGGCAATCGATGTCCGTCAGTGATTGGCACTAGATTACGGAATAGATACCGTCGTTAAATAAAGGAATGAAGATGAGGTTTTTGGTTCAAGAAGAATCTGGCCACTTCCCCCGGGGTACCGACCTTGAATCTTAAAAGTTCTGGTTAATCCAAGGGGTAGGTCACTCCGCACAGCAATCTTGGGTCAACTTGTTTCTCAGTGCGCCGCAAGTGTTCCGCAGGAGTGCCGATTGTGCCGGCAGCGTCCGTCATAGAGCAAGCTGCGATTGTTTGCTACCATTGGTGAAATCCTTAAAATTGCATTGGAACTCCAATGAAGATATTGCTTTGAAAAATCCAATGATAGTTATGTGTCAATGATTTTCATATACTTTTTCATATACTTCCACTTCGAATTTTCTATTACACACATCTCGGAAATTAATGCCCCATTTCACCTGAAATTGCTACTTCACGTATGCTGCAGTACAGCAAACGTGGAGTATCAGTTTCATTGTGGCACGTATCGTAGAAGCTGATAATTGTGCACTTAAAGTTTCAAAGTGGTTACTAGAGTAAGGATCTCACAGCGAAACACCTTAAGACACCTATTCCGGAGACCAGTAGCAACCTGGAGGGGGGAGGGGTCTCGAACCATCATAAGAACCTTTCCCTGCCCCAAAAACCCCTGCATACAAATTTACACGCCGATCGGTTCAGTAGTTTCCGAGTCTATAAGGGTCAGACAGACAGACAGACAGAAATTCATTTTTATATTTTGCTGATTGCATCTGAAACTGGACTGCCCCAAAAATGCAAAAAGTGTGATAAAAGTGCACCTTTGCGTCAAATCGTTTTGGTGTCTTCGGAGCACTTATTGCTTGCATCATAAGAAATAAGTGCACCGAAGACACCAAGATGATTGGACGGAAGCTCGCACTTTAATCACACTTTTTAATAAGTGAAAACGCGCTTATTAGTCCAGTTTGGTGTGAAATGCGCAATATATAGATAGATTCCAATAGCGCAAATTTATATGAAAATCAATGGGTTTTCGTGTCATTTTTGTTCCGTGTATATTATGGTATATTTGGCAACCCAGTATTTTTAACAGCATGAGTGTTTTGGTTTAAAATCGCAAGGGTAAGATCGAAAAATACTAACACTAAGGCTGTGAACCATTTGCCGAGTTAAATTTAACTCGTGGTTAAAAGTGACATTTCGAAAGTTATTTTCTATGTTCGAAAATCCCCGGGCTGTTGATCGACCGGTTTTCGAGCCACAGTTGTCAAAATTTAACTTCTTGTCTGTCAGAAGTAACCACGCTCGGATAGCAGGGTTAATCGATAACTTTCCATCTGTCAAATTTTAACCAAAAGTTAAAATAATTCGCCAAATGGTTCAGAGCCTAAGTAGGAAGGAGCAACCGCCGTCGGACGCATGACAAGAAAAAAATCTCCCAAAAATTTGGTTGTGGTTAATAACTCATGGGAACTGATCGGACCTGATTTTATATATATCTGACCGGTTGTAGATGCTGCGCCAATTCGTAATATTCGTTCGCCAGCCCATTGAGGATGCCATGGGAAGTGGTAGGTGTGCGAAATTTGTCTTGTGTTCATAGGATATTAAAAGTCGTGAACAATACAATAATATTTGATGAACAATACAATACCTACGAAATTGTGCCGTGGATGTGCCCCTTGGGGTCTAGTATAAGAGAGGAGCGGTTTCAAAACGAAATGCCTTGGCAACCTATGTCTACGTGATTTCTAGCAACACTGCCAATGCAATCAAGATAGACGCTGCTCGATTGGCTCTGGCTTTGACAGTTCGTTTGATTGAAAACCAGCCAGTCCGCTCCTCCCTTATACCAAACCCTCTCTAATCAGGGCCTATCTATAACCAAGAACAACTTTGTTCAAGACACATTTTCTCTAAAGTTTCAAGTTGATGCTCTAAATGCATCTTTCCTGCTTAATTCCCATTCTGGACCACTGTGCAATGCACAATGGTCCCAAAGCCGTATTTAGGAAGACACAAATATTTGCGCTTCAACCGTTTGTTTTAGGTATATGATGTCTTCGGGAAAGTTGTTATATATTTTTTTGGAAATTTTTTTTTTACGTGATGTACATTAGGGTGGTCCCTATAGTTAGGGAGTTCAAAATATCAACTTTTTAGTTGTTTAAGACGCAATATTCTACAAAGTTGTAGAACAATTAATTTGAAGCAGCTTTGCACAAGATAATTTTTTTTTGTATGACTAATGCTTCTGGTTTCACAAAAAAAAAGTTATTAAACTACTATCTCTTTCTGTTGGAAAATTATCAATGATTTTTGTTGAAAAATTGGGTTTGATGACTATCACTTGGGAACGAAATTTTCTGTGGCTGATTCGTTACAGGAGTGGTGATTTCCAATCGACAGCTCTAGAGGAATCGAGGTTCGATTGCTCGTGGATATTTCGGGAGATTGAAAAAAGTCTAGACCAATATCGGGACCACAACATCAAGTCGAGACTGAACCCATGAAGTGAGAATGAAATTTGTTCTTTACCAAAATCATAGCCACCTAGACCTGTGGTTTGTAATCGCCATATCAATCCGAGGGGTGAATTGAGTCAGTGAAAAAATAAAACGTTCCGAATAGAATCAATTCATGTCAACGGTTGTGTTTCATCAACTTCCAATTGCTTTCCGGGAAAATCTCTCCAGCCAAACCAAAATCATGCACCGTCGTCCACGTGTCCACAACAAGCGCTGATCCAAAAATAATCCTCTTCTATTTATCACCGATCGCAGCAATTGCTTACCCATAAAGCCGGCCAATTATCGCTTTGGTCAATCTGCTCATTTATTTTCGGTAGCCAATAATCGTGGAACACGACGGTCCTGACTGCGACGATGCTATTGCTTCGTCCGTTTTTGTTTCCCACCATCGGTATGATATTAATGGCATACCATTACCGGGCTGTAATCCTGGTTGGGTCAAACTTATCGACCCTGACCATTTTTGCTCGCCTTGCTGCGCCTTCAAGCAAATTGGTTTCAATTAACATCGAACTCACCAGGGAAGTGATTGCTCACTGCCAAACAAAATTACCAAGCTCATAAGAAGATTAAAAAATTGCTACCATTTATTGCTTCTTCTGCTGTGTATCTAAGTTATAAAATTGTGTCCTACAGGCGTAGTAAAAAGTTGTGGTTTCCCAGCTAATCTCTGTCGATAAGCAAAAATTAAGCACTTTTATCCTGAAGCTATCGCTTTTGAGTGTAGTAAGTCGCTTATGCTAATAACAGTTGAAAACGTTCCTGTGTAAGTTCCTACTGCTCCTGCAGCTTCCGGTAGTTTTCATCGGCTATCCGGATGAGTAGAGCCGCACTGGCCACTCCCGTTTGGTCAACCAGCCGGCGGAGATACCCGCTTGGACCATGCAGCAGATCGTGCGGATGGCCGAATTCCACCATCCTTCCGGCATCCATCACCAGCACCCGATCGCTATCCATGACCGTGTGCAGCCGATGGGCAATCGTTAATACTGTACAGTCGACAAACTTTGTCCGGATTGTCGTCTGGATCAGTTTGTCGGTTCTAAAATTGGACGGAAAAAATAATTATTGGATTACTTTTTGACGACGAGATCTCGCAAGAACTTACTCTGGATCAACGTTGGCAGTGGCTTCATCCAGCACCAGAATCTTGTTCTGCCTCAAGATGGCCCGGGCTAGGCAAACCAGCTGTCGCTGACCCATGCTGAAGTTGCTACCCCCGTCGGACATTTTGCACTCCAATCCTCCAGCCAGCGAGGACACGGCTTCCTTCAGTTCCACCTGATCCAGCGCACTCCACAGCTCGTCATCGGACTTCTCCTCGAACGGATCCAAATTGCTTCTCAACGTCCCTGAAAACAGTATCGGATCCTGCGGAATGATCGATATCTTACTCCTCAAGTCCCGCAGCCCCAGCGTCTTGGTATCGATACCATCAATCTCAATCGTGCCCTCACACGGAGCTAACCGGAACAGCGCCTGGATCAGCGAAGACTTCCCTGCACCCGTTCGTCCAACGATTCCAACCTTCTCGTTAGACCGAATGGTAAAACTCAAATCCTTCAGCACCTTCTCGCCATCTTCCGAGTACCTCAAATCCACATTGATAAACTTCACCACACCGTGCTCTGGCCAATCGCCTTGCGGTCGATTCTTTGGTGCCGTCTCCGGTGGTGGCTCCGACGGCAGATTCGTATACTCGTTGACCCTCTCCACCGAGACCATTTCGTTCTCCAGCTCCGCCGACTGTCGCATGCCCCACTGGCACATCCCGATCAAGCTGATGGTCTGCGTAATCGCCAGTCCCACGCTTCCGCCCAAGCTATTCTGTCCGACTACCAGGAAGCTCAACGTTACCACCGCAATGTAGATGACACACACCATGTCCAACCAGAAGGCAAATGCCCGCGTACTCGTCAGGAAGATGAACCACGCCGACGTGTTAACGTCCATGTAGTTGTTAAACTCTTGGCTTAGAACGCTCTGCGCCCGGAATGCCCGAATGGTGGACAAACCCTGGAGGGTAGCGTTCAGATGCGAGAAAATCGGCGATCGGTTTACCGACTCGATCCGTTTGATCACCCGGGACGTGTTTAGATATGCCTTACGGAGCAGGAACATGATTACTGCGACGACGATCGTCGGTGCGAGGAACCAGTAGTTGACGATCGAAACCAACGATACGACGGCGATCATTTCCAGGAAGAACTGCAAAGTAGAAGATTAGTTTTAAGTTGTAAATTGTAGAACACGGGGACTTACCACCAGGCAGTCGTGCAACGACATTGGCAGTGAGGTATCGATCGATCCGATGTCCTTGGAAAACCGGTTCAGTATCCGGCCGGATGGATTGTTGTTGAAGAAGTACATTGTTGCGCGGGTCAAACCGCGGAACATTCGATCGTGGAGATTCATCGAGATTCGCAAGCACGCGTAGAAGAACGAGAACGTACGCTGCAAGATCAGATAGATGAAGATCGCTATCAGAATCGTGTAAACCAGGATGTACCGCTCGCGTTCGGGTTCATGGTTTGCTTCCGCCTGCAGTTCCTCCAGAACATTGATGTCCAGCAAATCTTCGATTGTTTGATTCTCCTTCAGGTAGACTACGCTTTGGTTGACCTTACCCAGAGATTCTTCCCAGTTGACCCACTCGGCGACGTAGTAATCTACACTGCTGACGGCAATCTGGGACAGCACAATTAGCGCTGAGATGAAGACTATCCAACCGTAGCTGTTGATCGCGGTGATGTAGGTCTTGTACACCGAAAACCCTACGGATCCTTCGCCTTGAGATTCTTTCTCTTCGACCTGCTTCTCCTGGTCCAGGTTAACTTTCTCCGTGTGAGCGGAGAAAATTTGGAAGTCGAACTTATTCTCTTTGGGAGACTCCTCCGGTGTCAGCGCCAAGATCGAATCGAGCTTGGTCTTCTTAATCTCCCGATAGGATCCCTGAGCTTCGACCTGGCCTCCGTTCATCAGAACTATGTGTTGAACTTCGTTCAAATACTGCAACTGATGCGTCACCAGGACGCACACCTTATCCACTAGAAACTCACGTATGCACATCTCATAGATGTGCTTGCCCACGTGACTATCGACCGCTGAGAGCGGGTCGTCCAATATGTAGATATCACTCTTCTTGTAGATGGCTCGAGCTAAGTTGACTCTTGCTTTCTGTCCTCCGCTTAAACTTATTCCGCGCTCTCCGACGATCGTTTGATCACCATGAGGCAACAGCTGCAAGTCTCGTTCCAAGGCACATATTCGAACCACTTCCAAGTACCGCTGCTCATCGTACTCCTCCACGAACAGGATGTTATTCCTAATGCTGCTTTCGTACAACCACGGCTCTTGAGCCGCATAGCTGAGCGATCCATTAATCTGCACCGTTCCTTCATCAACCTCCAACTCTCCCAGGATAACCTGCAGCAAGGTGGTCTTTCCCGAACCCACTGGTCCGATTACGACACACAACCGCCCGGCTTGCACCGTCATACTGACGGCCTTCACGCCCACGTTCGACTCTTCTTCACTGACAGCCCACCGCGCAGTCACTTCTTCCATCACCAGACTCTTCTTGTCACTGTCCAAATTCACCACTCTCTTTGCCGATAACAGTGTTTCCACTTCTTCGTTCACCGCTTCTCCACCATTCGGCACCAGACCATTGTTCTTCGCTTTTTTCTTCTCTTCATCATCGATCAAAACACTACTCTTCACCGGTCCTTCTTGATTTGTGGTCGCTTCTGGCGCTGGCTGCGTCGTCTTCGGCTTTCCCTCCGGCGTTAGCAAAAACTGCTGAATTCGTATCACGGAGATGTACGCCTCGGAACAGAACGTAATCGCCATCGGCCAAAAGTGCACCATCGAATCGTTTAGGATACTGTAGTAACTGGTCACGATGAACACCTTGCGGGCAGTGATAACATTTCCGGTGTAGGTGTAGGAAAGCAGGCTGAGAAAGATCGAAACCCGTGAAACTACGAAGAATGAGATTAGCGTTGCGCGGACGTAGGCGCCTCCACGGATGGCATTGACCTCCTTCCGGCGAACTTCCTCGACCATTTTGGCGAAGGAGTTTTCCCAGGTGTACATCTTGATAACCTGAATGCCCTGGATGATTTCGTTCATGAAGCGAACGCGAAGATCGGTTCGCTTGGCCGCCTTCATCCGATAGGTGGCTGTCTTTTTACCGATCCAAGCTTGCAGTGGAATGAAGCTGAGTAGGAAGCCCATTCCGAGCAGTCCCGGGTAGTCCAGTTCTTTGTAGATGAAGTACCCGAGCAGGAGGGCTTCCATGGGACCCTTCCACAGGTCGTGGATAAATGCTAGGGCAATGTCGAACTTGCTGACGTCATTGGTGAGTAGATTCAAGATCTTCCCGTTCAATCCATCGCCAGCGGTCGTTGACTTCGTGAGCTTAAGTGACTGAAATAAACGTAATAGGGAATTAGTTGTGGTTGCTACCGAGCGTTGTGTAGACACAACGTGTTATCTCACCTTATTGTAGATAAGGCAGGAGCAGCCGACGCGTAGCTTCAACCCGATTTGAAAGATGAACATGATGAATGGATGGAATGTGATAACCGGTATCAGCGCACAGATTATAATTCCGGCTGCGTACCCGTATGCTGCCCGTTCGCTGATTTCGGTTTGATCGGGGGAAAAGTATGACACCAGTCCACCTAGGAAGAGCGGCTGTGCCACCCGGTTGGCCGTTTCCAGGACCGAGAACAGCAAGCCCCAAAAAAGGGTAACCATGCCATAGCCACGCAGGAAGGCTCGCATCAGTTTTGGCTGCGGCCGTTGCAGCTCGTCGGTCCATAGTCGATCGAAATTGTCGGTCAGTAGGCGGCTGCGGTGCTCGGGGAGAGTCTCGTAGATCATCTCTTCGGTGATCTCCTTCCGGTGACCCGCCCGGAAGATGTCCTTCAACCACCAGAAGGTGCGCCGCGAAATGAACGACGCATTCTGGATCGGGTTTTCGGTTTTGTTCTTACTGAAGTCTTTGTCGCGGTTCATGGTGCCGTCACTCTACGGATCTAGAATGAAAAGGAAGCCACATTACGATACGGGTAGAGGGATTTTTGAAGTTCTTCACTGTAGTTTTCAGCAGGCAATTTTTAATCGGGGGTATTGTCACGTGTGCACGGGGGAACACCTCCCATATGACTCACACCCCATCGAAGGGGTGACGACGTTATCAATCGAAAGCGAAATTCCACGGGGAGAATCTCTCACGTTAGCACCCGGCGCTTTGTTTGCTCGCACGAAAAGTGGGTGTGAGCGGGAGAGTCCACTGCAACTAAGTCATCAGCATTCAATCGAGCATTAATGGCCGCTCACATCTCGGCTAAACACTAAACGCTAAGAATAGCGACACAGCGGATCCAACCGGTTTTTTGTTTGTATCTCTGCAATCGCATATTCGCGATTTCGCATGATCATTTCAAAGCGAACGTCACTCAATCAGTGTGCAGTCCATTGTAGTAGGTCACGACTGTTTCGATGAATGATAAAAATAGCCCTCCAGTAACTGCTTTGTTTGCCTGCCTGTCAAGGCTAACTTTGCTGTCTACTAATCATCAAAACGAGCGAAGATTTCATCCACGATGATTTGCCAAAATGCACGTCCATTCACTTTATTTCAAATGTCATCCTTCCGCTGCCAAATTACTGGCTACGGCTTTGACCTCACAGCACCCATTGTATCCGTGCTCACGTGTTCGACAAAGTGCATAAGAAACCAGCTGATATGCTTTCGAAAACACTTCTCTGTGCTGGTTTTTGCAATTTGTAACCTATTCGGAGAAACCAAGAACGGGAATGTGAACCCTCACTTACACAGCAACGAAAAGAAAACAGCTGTCCGTCCGTCGTATTCCCGCAGGCAACTGCTGTCGTCGGATGCTACTACCACCGAAAAACAAAACAAAAAATCAGAAGAAAGAAAACCAGATGGACGAGCACGCGCTCGAACTGGCCGTGGCGTGTCTTGCCTCGACGAACGATAACTACACAGTGCTGAGCGATGAGCGAGAGCAATGGCGGCTCAGCTGCGACCGGCCACCACCACGGCCTGCTTCGAGTCTTCTTCATTCGCTCCTTCTCTCTCGACACATTCTCAGATCTGCTCAGCTGTTGTGTGGTGTCGCGTTGCGGAACTGAGAGCAACTCTCTCTCCAGAGAGCGCCACGGAACCGCTGCCACTGCTTCCTTCCAGGAAGGTTCGGTGCAGTTGCGGGTGCTTATGTTGAATTTATGCTTTTTTGTTGTTGCAAAAACCGGTGGCGTGCCGACGACAATGAACCTCGTTCGATATGTTGGATGGCACTGCGGTTCGGTGCACCGGAAAATGACCGAGGTCAGGGCGGAAAAATTTACACAGGCCTTACGAGGCTCGTTCCGAGGTTAACGAACGATTCACGATTTTCAAAGTCCGACTTAAATTATTTCAGCGTTCAACTCACTTTAACAACGAAATGATTGTTCAGCAATGTCAGACTCGCTCTATTCCATGTCAAGTCAATTGAACGCTGACTACCAGATCGGGGTGCGATGCATTCAACTCACTTGTCTCGACTCTAAACTCGGCTTAAAAGCTGCCAGATAATCTTTTATTGGTTCCTCAGCTTGGTTGTTTATGTTCCTATCAAAATTTTGATTTAATAACACAATTGGTTTGAAGTTATCTTATCTCAGCGCCTAGAATTCCGATTGACAAGGCCAAATGTTGTACGCGTTATCAGTACTCAGCCACAGATGATTGCCCACGAGCGTTCACGACGTCTACTGGCATGGTACTACTTATCTCGTGTCCACAATCAATTGAGGGCGATCCCTGCCTGTTGGCGCTCTTTATATCCATTCTGTATGCATGGCTTCAGAGGCGTAGCCAGGCGTAATTCTTGACAAGTCTGAGCAAGATTAGGGCTGTAAAATTCCATCTTCAAAGAAAGTAAGATTTTACAAACGGCGTTAACTGAAATTCTTTTGATATGTCAAACCAGCTGTCAAATGAATTGAAAATGCATCAAGATTCATCCTCTTGTTCATTTGGTTCATGTTGTCATTTTGAAATGAACCAATTTGACAGATAAATGTCCTTTGACTGAACCCTGTTTCAGTTAGTGGGCTTTCAGTTAGCAAACATCTACACTGAACGAAACATCCGCATTATTTTAAATGATTAAATATTGCATTGGTCGAGAACTTTTTTTTTTTCAAACCGTGCACGTCGTAGTTGCTAGTCTAGTTATACACTCATAAAAAAGTACATGTCACTCCCACGTGTATCACATCTAAATAGATCTAAATTAACGCAATTTGTCAAACTCATCCATTGCAAGTTTTTTTTTTTTTTTTTTTGTACAGGCTCAATCAAATAAACTTTACAGAGCCAAGTTATCATTTTAATCTATTTCAAGTGTGAATATTTTAAAATAAACTATTTCTGATCACTATGAAAACACTTCCGACACACGCGGATTCCATCTGTCTCGTTTGTTGCGATGTTTGTTGATCTACAAAATCTGGAACATAATTGTCAAATGCTCTACACTTGTAAGTGTATTGTCAATCATATCGGATTAGTATGTCATGTTTATTGGGTTTTAACTATTTATCGCACAAATTTGTTTAAAAACTTAAAAATATAGCTTTGAATATTGTACTGCTGCTTCCCCCAGCTCGATCTAAGTTTCGATCCAGTCATCCTTTACAGGAATCATTCGTGACCCAATTTAATCTCTATAGTTCTGAAAAGATAATGCTGATAAGATTTTGATGCTATTGACTGTACTTACCTTTTCGATTAAGTTTCTAGTTCGATAGACATAACTCCCAGAATCGATTCCTTTGAAGAGAATCCACGTACTACCGTATGCGTGATAATGTTTGCACCATTGAGCAATGTCAAATTTTAAAAAATTCTCATAAATTTCGTTTTCGAGTTTTTTATTTATTCAAATGAGGGATGTTTCTCAGAGTCTTAAACTATGTTAATCATCGATCGAGTTTCCACTTGCTGCAATTACGGCCTCTACACGCTTCCGTAATGCACGGCAGGTTCTAATAATGTAGTCTGGATCCATTTCTCTCCAGGTACGGGTCAATGTTTGTCTGAGGCTTGCTGTACTCGGGTGGCGTTTAGAACAGGCCTTGGCCTTCATGACGCGCCATATTGAGTAATCCAGTGGATGTCGCCTTCTGGCGAGGGGGGTGACACATCTAAATCTCAATTCTAGATGCTCAAAATATCTCACACTAGCGAATCAATCTTCGAAAAATCAGCGTGCGTGCAGCTAGCCACAGCAAAACACAATCTTTTCTGCATCGTAGATAGAGTCGTCCCCCTCGCCTTCTGGAATGAACACCGGGTCCATTTTTTTTGCCATCGGAAGCCACCAATCCAAACACCAAAACGCTAGCAGGATGCTTGGTCAGATACACGTTCTTGTGCTCGTCGACCACGTCTTTTCCCGGAAGAGAATTAATATACCGGTCGGTTCTGGAATTTGAAACGGGATCGACGTTAAACATGCACTCGTCGGTGAACAGGATTACCGGATTTTTTCGCTTGGAAGTTCAAGATTTTCTTGCATCGTTCGACTCGTAGCTCCCGGATGCGGTTGGTAATCATGTGAGTTTTTTTCCGTGCCCTCGACTTCGCCCCACAATCTTCCTTTAAAATCTTCCGTGCCGTAAAGTCACTGATCCCGTGTTCCTTTGCCAGTTTCCTTATTGAATGCACTGGATTCACCCGAATCTTCCTTTTGATAGCAGATAGCGGAACCCGAGCTGACCTCGGAAGACCTGGCCACCTTCGCGGATAGTTGTCCTTTCTTTTCTCGGTCTAAAATCCTTTTGACGGTCCACCGGGACACTCCCACGGCGATTGAAATGTCTTTTTGCGACATTTGCGCGTGGGACAAATCACGAATTCGCTGCCTGCCACTTCGTCATGGTGCAACTGTCAAACTAAGTAAATCATTTTCTTTAATACACAGCCTACTACGGCATGAGCTATAGGTTACGTGCATGCAGCTGTTTCCCATAGCGAATACCACGTACCACCCGGGAAAGAGGACCCAGCAATGGGTTGCACCAGCAGTAGAAGGTAGAATTCCGGTTGGTGGCAATAGTTCCAACTCCAAGGGCTGCTGCTGGTGAGAACCTATACAGAACTGACATTCAGAAATCAGAAACTGTTTCGTTACGTTTGGCTTGGTTTTCAGACAAGATCTCTTCACCTTTTTAGTATCTGTTCCTCCTGATGCTGCTGCACTCGCGGCTCCCAACCGATTCCGGACTTCATTTTCTTAGGATTGGAGGTTTTCAATCCAGATCCAGAATGTTTACCTATCTCGGCTATTACAGGACGGTATGGCGGTTTTCTGTTCTATTTTTTTTTTCTTCAAAACAACAATCGAATATAAACACTATTAGCAGAACGGTGTTTGAAGTGTTTAAAGTGTGTTTTGTGGGTGTTAGCACAATGTGAAAGAGTGACTCACCCCCTGTTTCCAACTCGTTTGTCAGCTCAGATCAGCAAATGACGTTCGATAGAATTATTTACATCATCGTTTTGGATGATTTGCGTTATGGGGCTGAACCATAGGTTTGTTCCCGTACTTGCTTTTGACGTTGGATAACGTCTTTCGGCAACATACGGGGGTACAAAATTGAAAACAGTCGTTTTGGATGCGTTACGAAAAATTTAAAGATTTTGAACGATAATAACTCAATCGTCTCTCGATAGATTTACGAGATAATGGCATCAATCGATTGGAAATATTTCTAGCAATTTGCTGAATGTTTCAAAACTATTGATTTCATTCTGTAAACTATTGAAAAATGGTTAAAAGTAAACCATTGTCTAAAGATGGTGAAAATCGATTGATTTTTTTATATTCTTATACTTTCTCCAACCGAGACATCAGATGCGAGTATCTGACACCTCTGATATTTTCTGTTCTACTATATAAGCGTCCAACAAGGCCGCCCCTTCCATCATTGTCTATCCGATCGTCGACCCAGCAGCAGAGCAGCAGAGCAGCAGAGCAGCAGTACCAGAGCAGCGGAAGCAGAACAACGGCAGCAGAGCAGCGGCAGCAGAGCCTGGGGGCGAAAGGGCAACTACGCCGAGTCCGTTGGTGCCAGTGCTCCGGTGTACTGGGCCGCCGTCATGGAATGCCCAGCTGCTGCAGTTCTCAGTCGGTCGTATTCACCGTCTGCTCCGCAAGGGCAACTACGCCGAGCGCGTTGGAAAAATGGCCCTTTTTCAGGGCCACAACATTATTAAGACAGAGTTTAACGTACGTATGCGAGTAGGTATCTGACACCTCTGATATTTTCTGTTCTACTATATAAGCGTCCAACAAGGTCGCCCGTTCCATCATTGTCAACAACATCAGCCCAACAAAACGGCCCTTTTCAGGGCCACCAAACTTTCGCAAAAGAGTTATTAAGGAATATTCCTAAAATATAATATACAAAATTAAGTACAACACATAACAGACGTTATCCAACGCCAACCCTGCGGTCGTATCTAGTATACAACCCTTCCAACTTTTTTGATTTTGCTGTAAGTGGCTGAAAGAAAATAATACAGGAATACCCGCTTTGCGCGGTGGTTATTACCGTCTACCCACCGCCAGTAATCTTACAAATTGAGCTGTTTTTTTTTTATGGATCAGCGCCCGCACATTGGAAACGAACACGGAATCAGCGCACTCTGCCCGCATTTACTGGATGTCCTTGACTGCCCCGCCACTTCGTCGAAGTCGCTGCTTTGAAATTGCCGAGTATTTTTCGATTGGTCGAAATTCCGGGCAATTCGGAGGATTGATTTAGCTTGGGGACAAAATCAATCTTGTTGAGAGCATACCACTCCAGAACCACCTTGGAGTAGTGGCAGTTGGCCAAATCGGGCCAAAAAATGACTTTTCCTCTATGTTTGCGGATGAACGGCAATACACGCTTTTTCAGGCATTCTTCGATGTAAACTTGGGATGTCATCGTCGAGGATGTGACGAAT